TCTTCTGTTGGGAAAGCCTTTATCCTTTCTTCATTCTGGAACAGCTGTTCTAGGAACGATAGTCTTGACTGGCAGTTGGGGGGAGAGGGTGTTTGATCTTGGCCTTCTTGACCTCCAGAATTCCTAGGCTTAAGCTATCCAGTCTGTGAGATTCTGTTGTAGCAGCCTAAGACACTGGTTGTGAGGAGACTAAGACCCTGGTTGTGAGGGAAGTTTCCTGTGGATGTGATTCTGGAAGGAGGCCCTTTCACTCTTAATTCTAATGTATCCTCTGTTGTTCAAATATTAGATGTTTTTGTTGTTGTTGTTGTTTTGGAGCTGAGGACTGAACCCAGGGCCTTGCGCTTGCTAGGCAAGCGCTCTACCACTGAGCTAAATCCCCAACCCCCTTAGATGGTCTTTTAATAAAAAACCCAGAGCCAAATATCAGGGTGAATGCCAAAAGATCAGAGAAGCAGAGCAAGAAGCCCCAGCCAGCCTCACCTAGCCAACTCCCCAGCTGATCCTGTTTCCATGAATCCTCAGACTGAAAGCCTCTGAGTCCTCACCCAAAGGGATCTCAGCTGAACTGCTTTAGTTCCTGTTTCCTCACACCTTATATACCTTTCTCTGCCCTGCTGTCACTTCCTGGGATTAAATGTGCATGTGCTTCCCAGTACTGGGATAAAAGGTGTGTGCCACCACCGCCTGGCTCTGTTTCCAGTGTGGTCTTGAACTCAGAGAGATCCAGACAGATCTCTGCCTCCTGAGTGATAGGAATAAGGGTGTGTGCACCACTGTCTGGCCTCTATGTCTAATGTAGTGGCTGGCTCTGTCCTCTGATTCTCAGGCAAGCTTTATTAGGGTTCATAATATATCACCACAATCCTCTGTTCTTTTTGCTGCAGTATTCTTGGCCTGTGTCCTTTGCTGGTCCATAAGACTGTACAAACTTTTCCCTGAGTTCTAAGGTGGTGCTGGCCCACTCACTCTCCAACTGAAAGTGTAGTTCTTGTTGGCTCCATCCCCTCCATCCTCTCGAAAAGGGGATGATAATCTCCTTGTGTTTATGATTTTCCAAGTCCATTACTGCCTAAAGAATAAGCATTCCTTGGCATCCAATGTGAGTTAACTGGCCAATTAACACAGCAACAAAGTACATGTACCTTTCAGTGTGTGTGTGTGTGTGTGTGTATGTGTGTGTGTGTGTGTGTGTGTACAATGTTTGTGTTACATAAAAGTATGTAAAGAAAGGATATGTTAGTCATGTCCGTCTTTGGGTGTTAGAAGCACAACTCAGAGTGGTCTATGCAAAAGGGAAAACTAGATCAGCCCATATAACTAAAAGGATAGTGACATCGTGGCCTCGGGCTTAGCTGGTTCTAGTGATTTAAACTGCCGCTCCTTACCCATCATCTCCCCTCTCAGCTCCCATTCTCATGGCCTCTGAGACAGCATCTATTGTATTCTTCCGAGTCCCTCCATGGGTCAGCATTATGGCTACCATCCGCTGTTGGTTGTCAGTCAATCATTTGTCATTGCAAACATTTCCCTCAGGCACAGACAGCAGGGCTTTCTGCTCATCAGTGAAGAAGTTAACTTTGGCACAGCTTCCCCAGAGCTGCAGCAGTGTCTATTTCTCTTCTGTTGTTGCAGGAATACACCCTGACAAAAGCGGTGTACAGGAGGGATTATTTTGGTGTAGAGTTCCAGAGCAGTATCTCTCACCCTGCTAGAGAAGACATGACAGCAGGCAGGGAAGCATGGGAGCAGGAGGCGTATCGAACAGGAAGTGGAAACAGCTATCAGGTCTCTGGGTCCATCCCCAGTGACTTCCTTCCTCCAGAGGGGCCCCACCTCCTCCGGGTTCCACAGTCTTCCCCAACAGCACCACCCTCTGGAGACCAAGCGTTCGAACGGGGTGCCTTCAGACCACAATTGAGACAGTGTGAGGCAGCCCGTGGGTTGTACAGGAGTATACAGCCCTGCTTGTGAAAACGGGAACTATGGTTCCACGGGCTGCTTTAGGAAGCTGTTAAATGTCATCACCACAGATGTGATTTAACACTCAACTAATTTCTGTTCACTTAGTCAAATTGCCATAAACAAAGATAATCAAAGCTGGTATTTTTATCAAGAGTTTTAAAAGTTTGCACCCAGCAAGCCTGTACCTGTCTATTAAATACAGATTTGTAGAGTAAATTGGTAGTTGTATTTATGGTGTATTAAAACAGTTTACTGCCATGATCCAGAAGTTTATAGTTCACTTTGGCTCTACCGGTCTCTATGGTATCCCACCTACATATCTATTCCTGTGTTTCTACAGGATGCTGATTAACAATGTCCAGTGAAGAGAAGTGTTTCAGGAACCGCTGGTTTAAGTGGGTGTGAATATGACAGAGGCAATACTATGACCCCTGTGTGCTGTCAACACCAAGAAAGGCATAAAAGCCTCCCTGGCCAGGCAGGGCATCCCTCAGGACCTCACAGCACCATTCCACAAGACTTGGTTGCAGAACTGCCATCTGTTTGGCTTGTTGTTTGAACTTTAGTTACCACTGAGTCTGTTCTGAGTACAGGAGTCAGGATTTAGCAACCTTATTGCATAATGAGGTCTTTGCAGACTCCATTTCAGGATGAAAAGGCTGCAACAGCAGTATTGACCACAAAACAGCAAGGTCTGTGATTGTAGAACAAGTTGTAGCTGAACTTCAGAAAAGACACATGCTGGCAACCTGCCAGGACTCTATCAGGGTCTGGTCATGTGCTCATGGGATAGTCCAGATGCAGCCTTCCATTAGGAAGTCCAAAGACCAGCATTCTGGCATTTCTCAAAACTTACATGTTCTATTCATTCAGTACTTATTAACCCAGGGTTTGTTCCATTCCAGGGTATGCCTGGCAGTGGCTTAACTCCATGTACCACACAAATTCTCTGTTCAGTTTCAGCTTTAGTCTGCTTTTCCCCATTGGCAGAGAAAGGACTATTCCACTTCAACTAAATTATCATTGTCAGGGGCTGGAGAGGTGGCTCGGGAGTTAGGAGCACTGGCTGCTCTTCCAGAGGGCCTAAGTTCAATTCTTAGCACCCACATGGAGTATGCAACCATCTATAACTAGAGTCCAAGGGATCCAGTGCCCTCTTCTAGTGTGCATATGTACATGCACACAAAATGCCCATATACATAAAATATAGAAGTGACTTTTAATTAAATCATTGTAATGTTTAAAGGGGTCTTATCTGAATAATTTCCAGTAGATATCTTATACATGCTATAGTTTTTTAAACTGTAGCAGCAAAGAAAGCTATCACATATTAAAAGTGATGAATGAAAGTCAGTTCTCAGAAAATTCACTTAATCTATTGTATTGCATCTTATTAAGAATTTTACCAATAACCATGATCAATAACTACTACATATTATCTTTTTTCATATATTCAATTAAAAGCCTAATCCCTACAGTTTGTTTTCTTCCAGAAGTTCTGTTGCTGGTTAATTCTCTGGACATAAGAACAAGTGGGAAGTGGGGTGTTATCCCATGGCATTCTGTTGACCTCCAGGGTTGATTTGGGTGGCCCACTGTGCACTGGGTGGTCTTGGAATAGTGTTCAGACAGAAATGTCATGTGAGGGGCTGGAGAGATGGCTCAGAGGTTAAGAGCACTGACTGCTCTTCTAGAGGTCCTGAGTTCAATTCCCAGCAACCACATGGTGGCTCACAACCATCTGTAGTGAGATCTGGTGCCCTCTTCTGGCCTGCAGGGATACATGCAGGCAGAACATTGTATACACAATAAATAAATCTTTAAAAAAAAAAGAAAAGAAAAGAAATGTCATGTGAAAAGAGTTATGTGGTCATGTGATATCTGCAGTTTTGTTTGGGCCATTTATGGCACTATTGAATTACAAATAACTTCTAGGAAGATGTTTAAATCGCTGTACTGCCTCCAAAGCAGTACAGTTCCTACCCTGAACTGAACACAGAGTGCCTTGGTATGTTGGCAGTAACATCACTCGGGCACTTGTCTCTTAAGCTGAAGAGCCCCATGAAAGCTCTCTGAAGTATTTGTAACCCTCAACAAGAAAGACAGGAATGCCATTTGAAGATATAATATTTAAGAAGAAAGGGCAAGCCTTTCTTCACAGCACTTGAGGGGCAGAGACAGGCAGACCCCTGAGATCAAGGCCAGCCTGGTCTACAGAGAGAGTTCCAGGAACCTTGTCTATAAAAGCAAAAAAAAAAAAAAAAAAAAGCCATATTACCTGGAAATGTTAAACATTAGCCTTTATTGAAAATAGCTAGAACCAGGTAGAGTTGCATAAGCCTTTAATCCCAGCACTAGGGAGATAAGGGGGATCTGTGAATTCAAGGCTACATGTCTAGTTCCTGGTCTACAGAGAGACCCTGTCTCAAGGGGGAGAGGGTGGGGGCAACCATGGCTTGAGATGTCTAGTCAAGGAGGGGAAATGGTCCAAGTTAAAAGAACATATTGTAGAGTAAGATGTATAGTAAATGAGCAAAAAGAAATGCCTTCTCAGCAAGCATAGCTGTCTACTACAGTGTGTTAAATTTTAAAGGTATATGTCACTCTAATCACCTATACTTGTGTCAGCAAAGACCAATAGAAAAAGACTAGAAGAATCAGAAATCAAGAAAATCTGAAGGGAGTGTGACCACCAAAGCAGGAAAGGAGTCCAATATAAGAACCAGAAATGCCCGTTGGATTTGGCAGTCTGGTGACCTTAAAAAGAACAAATTCAGTAGCTTGTTAAAGGCAAAGCATCTTGTGGCAGGTTGAGAAAAGAGGGCAGTAAGGAAAACCTTCCAACACTTCATCCATCCTGATGTACTGAGTGGCTGTGTGTTCTCTTGGCCGGCAGTTGTGAAAAGTATAAAAGGGAAAATTTTCAACCCTCCCCCTTGCCAAGTGCTGTGAGTTATTGGTAAACAAGATACTCAGTGCTGCAGTTCATGCACATGCGCTTTGTGTGGATGAGAACTGCTCAGAACACACAGGTCAGGTGATCTGGCCTTCGACACAGTATAAGCTTGTGTAAGGAAGAATTGGTTCATTGCTTCTGCACTCCGAGAGTCGTGGCTCCCTGGACTGAAAGCCTCAGGAGCCGTGAGGTCATTTGGACATTTCTGCAGGATCAAACTGTTTTCTGTCGAAATGGAAGTCCTTCCACTTTGAGTGCCGGTTCTGGCTCCACTTGCAATATCTTCCACCACAAAACTTTCAATTTTTATGACTGGGATCTCGAACGTCTTGTATCTCACGTGGATCCCCCAGTCATGGCAGCAGTTCTGAATGGCACAGAATATTTTTGCTTTCTTCTCGAAACTATCGTAGGTCTTTGGTTTAGGGTGTGGCTTAGACACAAAGCGTTCCTTAAAAGCTTCTCCAAGCACGGTGTAATGGGATTGCTGAGAGGAAGAGGTGGAACATAAAAGAATGTTAGAAGCAGTCCGAAAACAACTTAAAAACTACTCAACAGTCAAGGAGGAAGAGGGAGTGGAATCACCTTTATTTTACCGATGGAAAAAGAAGGGACTAGAGACAGCCTCCTGCAGGCCAGAGGAGGATCCATTTACTGGGCTTTATGCACGGGTGGGAGGAGGTGTAAGTGAGGTGGTACTGAGCACCCCAGAAGAGGGAGAAACCCAGCTCTCTAAATCAGAAGCAAAGGGGTAGTTGTTGAACACATGCAAAGTACAAGTTCACCAGAGGCCAGAAAGGCACAAACCAAGGCACAGGGATGACCACCCATGGGTCAGTGTGCATGTGAAGAAGCTCAGGAGCTGGACTGTCCCCAGGTCCTACCTATAGTTGACTAAGAGTGTACCCTACAGAAACAAGTGCAGACCCAGCATCCAGTTCTCCAGGGAAATTGTCTAAAGGGGCCACGGTGAACAAGAAGCCTTTGAAATCGGAACTGAAAGTACCTTTTACATCTAAAGAATCAGATTCATAAAATGGATGTCACTGGTAATATGCTTCTTGTTCAAATGGTCCCATATAACCCATCCCGAGCTAGTCCAGCCATCCACCACCCTCCATTGGTAGCAAGAATTACACCAGCACTCATCTCTGGAGGTTTTACCCACCTTTAATTAAAAGTTTTAAGGGGGCCAGACATGGTGGCACACACCTTTAAGTCCTAGCACTTGGGAGGCAGAGACAAATGGATCGCTGTGAGTTCAGGGCCAGCCTGGTCTATAGAGTGAGTTTCAGGACAGCCAGAGTTATATAAAGAGAACCTGTCTCAAAAAAAAAAAAAAGTTATAAGGGGGAAAAACTAAAAGGCTAACCTGCAAGTGTTACTTTTTGTTTGTTTTTTTCAATACAGACTATCCTAGAACTCACTCTGTAGACCAGGCTGGTCTCGAACTCAGAGACCCACCTGCCTCTGCCTCCCAGGTGCTGGGATTAAAGGCGTGCATCACCGCTGCCCCCAGCTGTGTTACATTTTTTTTCAATAAAGTGTTTTGTTTTCATTATAGAAGTGTTCCCTGAAGCTGGATGGTAGTGGTATAGGTCTTCAATTCCAGCACTCCTGAGGTGGAGGCAGGTGGATTTCTAAGTTCGAGATCAGCCTGGTCTACAGAGTGAGTTCCAGAACAGCCAGGGCAACACAGGAAAAACCCTGTCTTGAAAAACAAGCAAAAAGGAAAAAAAAAAGTTCTCTGTCCAAAAAAGAATTTTAGAAAACACAATAGGAAGAAAGAATGTCTTTATCAGAATATGACATTTTTATATACTTAGCCTTTAGCCTCTGTTCTTCTTGACAAAGATGGACGCCCCCCATTGATGGTCATGACAAAGGTGTTGCTGTGTATGTTATTTGCAGCCATAAGGAAAGCATCTTTATAATTGTATGTTCAGATTATTTCCCACTGTACCATTAGTTTGCTGGCAGGTTTCACTGTACCATGTGTGCTTCAAAACTGCAGCCTTACATTTCCTTGGTATAGTTGTTGACATATAGTAAAGGTGCAAAAATAGCTAGGGAGATCCTTGAATGCCTTAAACCAAGTCCCAAGGCACACATTTATATTCATCCACACATTTGCTAAAACTAAGAAATCAACACCAGTACATTCCTTTTAATTACAGATTTTTATGCCTAATCCTTTATTTGTCCCAGGAGCTAATCAAGGACACAACACTGCAGCCTTCATTTTCTTTCCTTCTTTCTTTCTTTCTTTCTTTCTTTCTTTCTTTTTTTTTGTGGAGGGGGTGGTTGGTTGGTTTTTTTGAGACAGGGTTTCTCTATGTTGCTCTGGCTGTCCTGGAACTCACTTTGTCGACCAGGCTGGCCTCGAACTCACAAAGATCCACCTGCCGCTGCCTCCCGAGTACTGGGATTAAAGGCGTGCGCCACCACGGCCCGGCATAGCATTCATTTTCTACAGCTGCATAAAAGAACTTTTGGAAAAAGTGGTGGTGTGTGCTTGTGGTCCCTGCACGGGGGAGGCCGAGACACAGAAGTAAATTGGAAACTGTAAGCAGTACTCACCCCGCTGTGAGTACTAACCCTTACCATCCTGACTGTTTGGGGCCGCTGTAATCAGACCTCCCTCCACTCCCTGGCCTCTCCCAACACTGTCATAGTTTGTGCTTCTGTAACATCGGCTTTCCTGGCTCCCACATAGAAGCAAGACTTCATTTCTCACTACAAGGACCATGGCCAACAGTCACAACAGAAGCACTAGCGTCCTTCTACAAACATTTCTCCAGGAGATGATAAGCTTTGACTGGCACTAAAGATGGCCAGGGCTGCTCACCTCGACCACTCGGATGTCAGCTGTGTAGCATGCAAAGGTCTTGCACTTCCCACACAGCAGTTTCTTATTTTCTTTATCAGGGACAGGTGGTGGTTTGTGTTGACTATCTCTGATGAATTTTTCATCCAACTGTATATGGCGAACCTACATTCCAAAAGAAAAATCTCTTGAGTGACCACAACTAGCATACAAAGATAAATGCACATGGCTGGCCACAACACACACACATACATACACACACACTCACTCGAATATAATTTCCAATGAGCATACAGTGCCTAGTTGTATTGTTTTGTTTATGAAAGTCAATCTCATAATTCCTTTGGTTCTCTTAACTCTTTAGTAGTCAGTGTTTAACTACATCCTCCATTAATCTTTCAGTTGCTTTCACAGACATGCCTGTCAAACAGTCACATGAACCATGATTTCTACTCTAGTGGTTTGCAAAACTTTAGAAAACCTTCACAAATAGACCTATCATGTGGCTGCTTCAGGCATAAGCCAAAGGAATGGATCAAGAGGATAAATAGCCCTCTATCTGAAACCTCTCCTCGAGCCCAAAAACATATTGCTGAATTCCAGTACGGTGTAATGCCTGCATGGTGCAGCTGTATTCTAACTGAGAATGCAGACTCTGGCATACAGAAAGAATTGGGCATAATGAGAAAGCAAATGAAAGATTATCAAGAGTGAGGAGAGGGCAGACCAGCCAGAAACACTGGAGTCCCAGGAATAATGTGGTGGTGGGTTCCCTGGATTTTCTGTTCATCTGATATGTGCAGACTTGAGGTTGAAGCAGCTGAAATCAGAAATGCCCAGAGGTAGAAACAAAGTCCCAAGAAAAGCCTGTCATCCATCAGCAAAGGACCGGAAAAGAGCAGCCTTGCAGACAAAATCTTTAGAGCCTACGGTTGAGACAATATAACTGCTTTGCTCCCTGGGTAGAGAGGGCACTGTGGCCCAATCCCTCTCTACCTGTGCCAGCACCAAAGGGGAACTAAGATTTCTACTTTACAAAGATATAATTAAGCCCCAATTATCAGGATGGAGCCAGGGTCTTCAGCCTGTTGACAGGACTCATAACCCCCACTCTCCCACCCCACTTACCCACAGTCGAGTAAGACCCTGTGAGGAGACAATTCCCTGCCTCCTCCCCTTGCTCCTCAGAGGCTGGACATCTGCTTCCACAGATGGTGACGAAGCAGTGGCCCTACCTCCTAACCAGGGCTGAGCCAGAAGCCAGCTAACACAGAAGACTACAAAGGTTCAGAGTGAAAATGTCTTAAGTTTCAAACACCTCTTTTCCTATCATGAAACAGGAAGAGCTCGCACTGAATGAAAAGGTAACAGTCAATGATGCCAAGGCTGAAATGATAAGATTTACGTGGTGAGGAATTTCACAGCCAGGATGAAAATGCTTCAATGAACAATCACAGACATTTGATTATGGAAAAATATACAGGTTCATTACAACCCAAGCTTAAAGCTCAACAGAAGGGCTGGACTAGAGGGGACCAAGGAGCAATTACGAACTAAAAACTGGAATAAATGTTGGAGAGATGGCTCAGCAGTTAATAACAAGCACAGGCTGCTCTTCCAGAGGCCCTGGGTCAGTTCCCTGCATCCACATAGCAACTGACAACTCCATAACTTCAGTTCCAGGAGATCTGACACCCTTTTCTGGCCTCCTTAAGCACCAGGCATGAGTACTTGGTGCACAGACTTAAATGCTGTCAACACATGCATACACACACACACACACACACACACACACACACACACACACACATATATATATATATATGTGTGTGTGTGTGTGTGTGTGTATGTGTATGTATGTATGTATGTATTTCTAAAACTAGAACAAACAAAATTACCCCAATCAAACAGCATAAACTAAACAAACAAAAAAACAAACTCTTTGGGACATATGGCTACTGAAGAATTTTTTTACACTTAATATTTAATGCCATTAGAGTCCAGAAATGAAGTACTAGGATTTGGAAAGCCAGAAATCATGGCTGAACAATTCTGAAATGTGACGAGCAATAAGATCATAGATTCACAAAGCCAAATGAGCCCCAAACAGAATAAAGTAAAGACATTCACTCCAAGGTGCATATAATAAACTTCTAGAAACACAAAATTTCAGAATAATAATGAAAAAAAAATACCACTCTCTCTCCAAAGGAAAGTCTGAATGTCAGCAGGCAGTCCTTAGAAGCCACACAAGCCAGAAGGAAGTGGCATAGTTATTTCTGAAATGCTAAAAGAATTATCACTCTTGCCCATCAAACCTGCCTCCCAAAAATGAAGGGGTATTCTCAGAAGAAAGAAAACCAAGACTTTACCACCATCACACTTACAATGAATATAAGTTAAAAAATAATCAATGCATGATATTCACAGCCTCCAATCCTCATGCTTCACACCTGAGATTTTCTTTTTCTTATTTTCTCACTGTATAGCCCTGGCTGGTCTGGATCTTGCTATGTAGACCAGGCTGGCCTCAAACTCAGAGATCTTCCTACCTCTGAAGTTCTGGGATTTAAGGTATTCCCTACCATACCCAGCCTCTTAGGTTTTTTTTAAAGTTTTGTAAATAAAATGGAGAGAGAAGTGTGATTGGGTGTGGTGGCACAAAGCATCTGGATCTGGAAGTGGGAAGATCAAAAGTTCAAAGTCACCTTGGCTACATAGTGAGTTTAAAGCTACCTGGGCTAAGTGGTGCCTCTATTGGGGGCGGGGGGACGTAACTGGAATGTCTTAGGGTTTCTGTTGTTGTGAAGAGACACCATGCCCACAGCAACTCTTATAAATGAAAACATTTAAGTGGGGTAGCTCGCTTAAAATTTCAGAGGTCCAGTCCATTATCATCATGGTGGGGAGCATGGTGGTATGCAGGCAGACATGGTGCTGGAGAGGTAGCTTAGAGTCCTACATCTTGCAGGCAACAGGAAGTTGACTGAGACACTGGGTGGTATCCTGGGCATAGGAAACCTCAAAACCTGCCTTCATAGTAACACACTTCCTCCAACAAGACCACACCTCCTAATAGTGCCATTCTCTTTGAGCTTATGAGGGCCAGTTACATTCAAACTACCACATAGGGGTTATGTTCCTGTCTTCAAAAAAGTTTTCACTATTGTGAAAGAGTTATATGACATGCACTTATTCTTTGCTATAAATTAACTTTGGATAGAAAAAAAATTAGGGTTACATGATTTACACATTCCTTTTAGGCAATATTTTTGTTTTGTTTTTTGAGATACGGTTTCTCTGTGTAACAGCCCTAGCTGTCCTGGAACTCCCCTTGTAAACCAGGCTAGCCTCAAACTCACAGAGATCTGCCTGCCTCTACCTTCCAAGTGCTGGGATTAAGGGCATGCGCCACCACACCTGGCTTGCTTTATGAGCAATTTTAATATTAACTTCCTTTTTTGTTATTGCTGTTTTATTTTCTTGAATAAAATAATGTCTCTGTAGATAGCCCTGGCTGACCTGGAACTCACTATGTAGACCAGGCTGGCTTTGAACTCAGAGATCTCTCTGCCTCCCAAATGCTGAGATTTAAAGGTGTGCACCACCATGCCCAGATTTTTAACTTCATTTTTTAAGATACAGATCAAGGTGAATGGAGAGATGGCTCAGTGGTTAAGAGCACTAACTGTTCTTCCCAGGTTTGATTCCCGGCACCTACATCAAAGCTCATAACTCCATACCAGGCGATCTGACACACAATTCTGACCTCTGAGAGCACCAGGCATGAACAGGGTTCACAGACATGCACGTAGGCAAAACACCCATACATATAAAAAATAAAATGAAAGGTTAAAAAGGTTCAGATCTACTCACTTTCTCAGTTAGGCTAGGGCTTGGGGGAGCATGACAGAAAGAGTAAACATGAACTTTCCCTTAGACATCCCATTGTCTTTCACTCACTTATATGTAATGGCTTTTTTAAATTATATACTAAAATCTAATTAAAATACAGTCATCTCAAGTATCTTAAATGTACTGCTGGTAATTGCTCTAAATTCTAATGAGTTAAATGTGTTACTACTAGAGTTAAGACTTTAAGGCCGACAGCAGCAACTGGTGGAGATGTCGCCAAGGCCCTGCCCGACCCAATCCCACACCTGTGGTTGAAAAGAAACAGCTCCACACACAGGCGGAATCGGTTTCTTCCTTCTATATTGTAGGTTCCAAGGATCAAACTCAGGCCATCAAACTTGGTGGCAAGCACCCTTATCCACTGAGTATGATGGCTAAAGTTGTATTTTAAGTTTAAATGACTGTGCGTAAGAGAACAATAAAACCAACGCCTCTAACCTGTAAGCCCCACTTGCCTAAGGACAGATAATGTCCTGGAATGCTGGGGGCTGCTGTTCGTGTTAGATAACAGGCCACATGTTTTCACTTCCATAAACAAGCTTGGTTGCCCCAAATGCACAGGATATGTTTGATCACACATAGTATGTAGGCAGGAAGTATATCAGGATGTATGCTTGCCCCTGATTGGACAAAGACAGGAAGTACGAAGCCTTACAGGTTTTGCCTGTATAAATTAGTGACTAATTTGCAGCCATTCTCTGGGAATCCCGGGTATGGACCTGGCCAGTGTCCATCGTCCTGGCCAGTATTTAATAAAGCTTGCTTCAAATCTGGCTCAAAATTGTGGTAGTGGTCTTATTCTCACCTGGTGGGGTTAACATGAGCCATCCTCTACCCCTCCTCCCACACTCACAGGTGAAGAAAGCAAACCCTGGCAGCAGCTGTGAGTATCCACATCATCCTGGAAGTCCTTCATTCAAAAGGAACATTCATGACCTTTCTTGTCCCCAAGAGGAAGGGAACACAGGCTTCTTCATTTCAATTTCAGATTACACTAATATGGCCGTTATAACCAGAATGGCCCAATAATCTTCACCATCGTGAATTACCTGAACTACCATCATGTCCTGAAGCTTCCTTCCATCATGGATGTGAGTTCTTGGCTTCCCTTGGACTGTACATGTTAAGCTGCTACACGGTAACCAGAGAATTCCCCAGGGCACAATGCTCTAGTGATTGATGGTGGACCACACAACACTCAACTTCCTAGCAAACTGGGCTCAAGCCAATTTTCAAGTTCAAACACAGCTCCAGAACCCTTACTAAATACCACCAAAGGGGTTCCCACCCCAAGAACCATAATCTTTTTTCTTCTTTTATGGCATTTTCACACAGATCTCTCATGCCCCCTCCCCACACTGCGTTCCCCCTCCCCTCTGGCTGGTCTCCCCCCCCCCCATGTGTCCCCCCTTTCAAGTCACATGAATTTCATCATTCCCTTTTATCTCTAATTCCATTACTTGAGAGGTAGAGACAGGAGGATGTGAAGTTCAAGATCACCCTCAGCTCCACAGCAAGTTCAAGTTCAAAGCCAGCCTGAACTACTTGGAATCCTCTTTAAAAAAAAAAAACCCAGACACAGACACAGACACACACACACACACACACACACACACACACACACACACACACACACACTCAGCACCAACCATGCTCATTTGTTATTTCTGGTCAGATTCCAAAAGAATAGCACAGAAAAAAAGACTTACCATTTTTTCAAATTTCGTTTCATCCCATGTCTGAAGTCTTGAGATGGATTCATTCATTATTCTCTCCTTGAACATGTTCACCTTTTCTTTTTCTATCACGTCAGCATTGCTGGTCAGGAGGAAGCACTTGCTGTCTCTCGCTCTCCCTCTCCCTGTCAGAAAAAGTTTTATTTGTACTTTGGATGTAAAACACTGATGTTATGTGAAAATAGATTAAAAAAATGTGAGAAGTATTCCTAGAGTTTGACCGTGATTCACGGCATCCTGCTTTCTGGAGAAGCTGGCCTCAAGAGTGGGCTCAAATGCAGGTTCCAGCCTGCATGGTGAACAGACAGAGAAACCAGGACCCACCTGCAGCTCGTCTCCTTAGGCTCTCCAGTGATGCAATGTGATTCCACAGCCACCGTGTCACAACACTGACTTACAGATGATCCAGCCTGAGCCCTCAGGCATGGCACCATGAGCCTTCAGTCATGGCTCCATGAGTCTTCAGTCATGGCTCCATGAACCATCAGTCATGGCTCCATGAGCCTTCAGTCATGGCTCCATGAGCCCTCAGTCATGGCTCCATGAGCCTTCAGTCATGGCACCATGAGCCCTCAGTCATGGCTCCATGAGCCCTCAGTCATGGCACCATGAACCCTCAGTCATGGCTCCATGAGCCCTCAGTCATGGCTCCATGAGCCTTCAGTCATGGCACCATGAACCCTCAGTCATGGCTCCATGAACCCTCAGGCATGGCACCATGAGCCCTCAGGCATGGCACCATGAGCCCTCAGGCATGGCACCATGAGCACTCAGGCATGGCACCATGAGCACTCCCACCTGAACCCTCGTGCAATGGGGAGAGAGGGTTTCTCACCCACACTCTCACCCTGGAGTGCGGGTGAGAACTTGTCAGTGCCATTACAGAGACAGGTATAACGAGGCTCATGGGCATTTGAACGAGAGATTATTCTGGGAGAACTAGGTTATGTGCCATGGAGACAGAAAAGGACACAAAATACAAAGGGGCTGTATGTGAGACATTCAACAGGCAGTAAGCAGAGTCTGGTTGGCTGGACTGGCCAGTAAGCAGAGGAGGAGAATGAGAACCATATGGGAATAATGAGCGGCATACACACAGCCATGATTCAGGAAGGGTAAAATGGGGTGGGGGGCTGTTCCTGGGGAAACAAGGGAAGGGAGGGAGGACTCTGGAACACAGGAGCTACTCACCACAACCATGAAAGGTCTACTCGATGACCGGCAAAGCCTCAGGCTTAGTGGATATTATATTTTCGTAAATATGCCAGTGAACGCGGGGCATTAAGCAGCGCCATTGTGAAGAGACACAACGGAGTATTACGGGTAAAACTATACCCACCCAATCCTGACCAGGTAAGTCAGCCTTTAGACTAACAGCAGCAGAGTCGAGTGTGCCATCAGTCACATAATACAGCTCAGTAAAGAAGGAAGGCCAAACACCCACAAGCCTAACAAAATGGGAGCCAGGGAGGAATGACATCAGCGGCTCTCACCTCTGGTTTGGATCATTTTGATGACATTGCCCACATACTCATACAGGATGACCAGATTGCACTGAGCAATGTCAATGCCTTCATCAGCGACCGAGGTAGCAATCAGAATGTTGTTATCTCCGCTGGCTCTGAATGCTTCCAGCGCACACTTCTGGGCTGGGAGTGTCATCCCTGTGTGGGATAAAGAGGTAGTACAACTCACTCATGAAAGAATTATGCTCTTGGAAAACCAGCTACTAATTAGGAACCATTTAAAAGTGAAAAGTTATTTTTACCTTGAAAAACAAAAAAAGCACACAGAATATCAGATTTCACCTAATTACTATTTCTCCATTTGGCAGATGAAGAAAATAAGGCATAGAAGTTATAACATGTTTCACAATCTAGGAACTAAAAATGCTACAGATAAGGGAATCTGAAAATGTTCAGACAGCAAACAACCTGTAGCTTTTTTTTTAATTCACATTTTTTTCTGGGTTAGCTATGAAACAAGAAGGAACTATCCAGGAAACAAAAATTATCAGCATCATCTTAGCCTATTTATTCATTCACCTAACACTCAGTCAGCAATTATGGACTATGGTTGGTCAGGTAAGAATATGATGGCTAAAGACGACATTTTTATCTACAAGAATGATAAGCAGGAAGCCATGGCAAAGGAAGTGGGGTGAGAACCACAAAATGGAAATGCTGGGGGAGGTCAGCTCAGGTGTGAGGACAAGGATGGCTACTGGTAGAAGCAGAGCACTGAGTAAGGTCTCAATACATGATAGAAAGACGATGGATGGATAGCTAGATGAATGTATCAATAGAAGGAGGGGAGGGAGGAAGAAAGAAGAATGGAAGGATTCACACATGCATGGATGAACAGATAAGAAAACAGTGTCTATTTGTATGTCAGTTACAAAGTTTGAAAATCAAGTTGGATTCATGTTGGAGAGATGGCAAAGAACTTTGAGATCCAGTCACATTAAGATAGTATTAGAGCCGGGCAGTGGTGGTGCACGCCTTTAATCCCAGCACTTGGGAGGCTGAGGCAGGCGGATCTCTGTGAGTTCGAGGCCAGCCTGGTCTCCAAAGCGAGTTCCAGGAAAGGAGCAAAGCTACACAGAGAAACCCTGTCTCGGAAAAAAAAAAAAAAAAAAGATAGTATTAGACTTGAAACCACACTTTCAAAACTTGAGTCCACTCTATGTTTATGAGATCTGGAAATTCCATGTGGGAAAAGTACCAGAACAGTGAGTGAGGACCAAGAGGACAGGGGTGGAGGCTTGTTTAGTCTAAACGACACTGGCAGGAAGAACAGGGTGACGACATGTCATAGGGCAGGAGATAGTCTGGGAGCTGGGCCAAAGCTGTGATGAGGACTAGCAACACAGGATTCTTCCAGGTAATGATGACCTCCCGCCCTGTGACCACACTAGCTAGAGTTCAGGGTTGCCTGGACCGTTTTTAAACTATAAAATATGCAGTAGACATAACAAAATCTACCCTGCAAAGAATAACAATATAATAGATGCAGAATATTTTTATTTCCAGAATTTGAAGAGAGGCATGAGCTAAGAGTGCTGAAAAGCAACTCCAGCTTTGTCTGCAGGACACAAAAGGAGGCAATTTCCCGCAAGGAACCAGACTACTGTAGCTCCTGGCATTTGGGACGTGTGCTGGCCTTCTGAGGCACTGACTGGGTCAGGCAGACAGACAGCTGCGGCCATTCGTGTGAAGGGAGCCTGCAGATATGGTTAAGATCCTAATCAGTTGAGTTACATGAGAAGTGAGTTCATCTAAGTGGGCCTGACCTAGTCTCATGACCTTTTGAACAAGGGTGTGGGCCTTCCCTGAGCTCAGAGACCTAAACAATCCATGCACAGGGGCTTCCAAGCTGTTCTTGGCCCCTCCTCCTGACTAACTGCCCTGCCTGCAGGTTTCAGGTTTGCATTGCCAGCCTAACTGTGTGTTCGTTTTCAGGAAATCTCTGCGCGCTGCGCTGGGTACAGATATAAGTACACATCCATACCACATACATCTGTGTAGTCTCCTAGTCGCTTTATCTCTCTGGTTAAACTCTGACTGATACAAGCACAAAATAATGGAACGTGGTGTACGTTTTATATACATAGTGTGCTACATCTAATTCACCATACACAAATACCTGTGGCCTGGTTGGTTTTGCCTCGTCCAGTCAATATGCCAGGCTTTAGAAAGCCAAGTCCAGGATTTTCTTCAATCCACTTCTTTAAAGCCTTGAAGTGAGAAGCAATGACCAGTTGGACACTACTTGTAAACATTAAACCTTGCATTAATTCAGCATAGAATATAAAACTAACATACATAATGTACTAAATAATACAAAAAGAACATCAAACCGAAGATACAGATAGATTTCAGACTGACAAACCCCAAATTCCAAACCGCAACGAATTCTAGTGGCCTAGAACTCTGTGGTTTGTTGTGGCTTCATTTGTGAGATGCTTTAAGTGACAAAAAGGTGAAGCTTAGCACACGGGTACACAGAATAAGTGGATTTAGCAAGACTTTGAGATGCAAGGTCAACATGTGTAATCAGTTGCATGGTTACATATCAGCAACAGACAATTGCAATTTGAAAATCTGTGTGTTGTGTGTGGGTGTACATGGCTGACCATGTTGGGGGCGGTGAGCAAGTGTGTGTATATGCATGGAGAGGCCTGGGGTCCTCAGGTGTCATTACTTAGGAGCCCGCCCGCCTTAACCCCCTCCACGCCCGCTTAGTTTTTTGAGACTGAGTAACTCCTTGGGGATTGCCCAGCAGGCTGCCGTAGCTGGCCAGCAAGCCCCAGGGTTCTGCTTCTCTCTGCCTCCCCAGTACTGGGCTTACAAGTGTGCACGACCATGCTCAGCTTTTTTGTGGGGGTGCTGGGGACTGAAAATCCAGGTCCGGATGCCTGCACTTCAAATATTTTACTAACTGAACTATCTCGCCAGCCCACAATGTGAAATATTTTAAAGTAAATATTTAAAAATGGCATCACTAAAACTAATACCTAAGTACGAGTCTAACAAAATGTACGCATGACCTCTATGCTAAAAATGACAAAACACTAATCAAACACAGCAAAGGGGCTGGAGAGATGGCTCAGCGGTTAAGAGCACTGGCTGCTCTTCCAGAGGTCCTGGGTTCAGTTCCCAGCACCTATATGGCCGCTCACAACTGTCTGTAACTCCAGTTCCAGAGAATCTCACGCCCCTTTCTGACCTCTGTGGGCACTGCACGCAAAATACAGATACACATGCAGGAAAAACACCCACAGACATTAAAAAAAAACAAACAAACCAGCAAAGAACACAAGACAGGCAACCTTCAGTGACTTCTACCTCCTATGAAAAGACTTTGCAGCTTCTTTCTGAAATGCGCAATAAGGTAGATGTAGCAGGACTTGTAAAAGTGACAGCGTCCTCTAGGCCCTCTTCCTTTCAGTCTCCTGTATGTCACTCACTTTAGGCAGAGCCAGCTGCCATGTTGGAGGCACATCTTTGCAAGCCTGCCAACAAACCTGCAAAAGGAGCCGAGAGGTTGACCCTGAGTCCTGAGCTAACTGTGGCCTCATGGGACCTGGAGCCATAAGCACCCAGTCGTTCCCAGATCCTGGCCCATGGATGTCATATGATAATACATGTTGGTAATTTTCTGGCTCTAGCTTTGTAAGTAATTGACTCTTCAGCAAAAATAATACAGAAACTCTACATAAATGGAGATACACTATGGCTCTTGGCTTGAAGACTCAATATTAATGTCTTTCTTCCTTTATCTATCCACAGATTAAATGCAACTTCAAAAAAGACCCTGGGGGATATTTTTCATAGATGTGGAAAATCTGATTCCAAAATATACACAGTAGACAATGGAATGCAGATTTTAAAACTTAGGGAAAAAAAGCTAAAGTATTCACATTGCCCTTTTTCAAGTTTATTAGAAAGCTACAGCACTCAAAACTATGAGATAGATTCAAGAATTGATGTTTAAGTCATGGCAACAGATGTATAAATCAATAAGAAATAGAAATTAGGGGTTGGGGATTTAGCTCAGTGGTAGAGCACTTGCCTAGCAAGCTCAAGGCCCTGGGTTCAGTCCTCAGCTCTGGGGGAAAAAAAGGAAATAGAAATTAATCCATCCAAATATAGTCAATAGATTGTTTTAAGTTACAAAAGTAATTCAATAAAGGATTGTCTTGTCAACAGACAATAAGACGTATAAATCCAAAGGAGGAGGAGGAATGGGACATTCAACCCTACCTCATATTATATATAAAAATACAAAAAATTCTAGACGGAAACAGAGAAAATTTTTGTGACCTTAAACATCAGCCAAAGCCAGGGGAAAAAACAAACAAACAAAAAAACAGACTTGAAACATTCAGTGTGCAGAGATACTGTTAAGATAACTAAGTTGGGCGGTGGCACGCACCCTTAATCCCAGTACTCTGGAGGCAGAGGCAGGCAGATATCTGAGTTCAAGGCCAACCTGGTCTACAGAGTGAGTTCCAGGACAGCCAGAGCAACACAGAGAAACTATGTCTCAAACCATGTCCCACCACCATAAAAAAAAAAAAAAAGATAACTAAAAAGCAGGCTGTAGGCCAGCAGAAAACACTTCAAATCCCTTGTCTCAACAGAGGACTTTTTTGGCCATCCTACAAAAGACTCTTGAAAACTTAACAATAAGATGGTAAACTATTTTTTTTCCAGAACTTGGGATTAAACTCACGGATGCTAGGTGAGTGCTCAACCACTGAGCTGTAGCTCCAGCCCAAAAGCTCAACTTTGGCATTGGTTTTAAAATCTGAATACATAAACTTTTTAAAGATGATCTCAAGACAAACTTCTAAGCATATGAGATGTCCAAGCATATTAGTTACTAATCAATGTAAATCAAAACCTACAGGATGGCTTGAAATGACAGTTTTAACAGGAAAGTCTTAAAAAGGATGAAGTGCTAAGACTTAGAACATGAGGAAATAAAACAGTGAGGTATTAGTGTAAGGATAAACAATCAGGACAGGCCCACACATGCATGGAGACTTGATTACAGGGCAGTGAAGAATGGGCAACCTTTTCAGTAAAGTAGAGCCAATCTGTTGTGCATGTGCATGGATGGACACACACACACACACACACACACACACACACACACACACACACACACACACACACACAAGGCTTACATCCACAAGTGCTCTGGTTTTCACGAAGAGAATGGTTTTGGTCTCAGGCTTTAAGTGGTACTCTTCTTGTAAGATCAAGTAGAGGTCTCTGAGTTTAGGGTTCTCATTGCTGGGATCTGTGGAAACCTTTTCTAGGTCCTCCAGCTTTTCTGCAAATGAAGAACAGTTTGCAAAAGGCTAATGAATGTTAAAGCTTTAGAACTGTGGCCTTCTATTTCAAACAGTTAACCTCTCCATTGTTAGCCAGAAATCTGAGAAGTAAACACTAATTTCAACTGGTGTACCCCTTTAGAAAGCAGTTTAGCAATATAAAGCTCACACATTCTTTGGCGCAGTAATCTACAGCTAGGAATTTGACTCAACAGTTCTATTTAGAAAACTGTGCAGAAGATTTCGAGGACAGTCACTGAGATTGTTGAGAAATAACTATGAAAGAAATACAGAAAACAACCCAAACACTAAGTAACTGAGAAGCTGCTCCACAGATCTTAGGCTACCCGGCTGATGGAAATACAACGTTGCTGTTAAAATTAAAGAGGTATGTACCTGCTGATATGGAAAGATCTAAAAGACACACATTTTCTGTTTGTTTATTTTGCTTTGTTTAATTTTTCGACACAGGGTCTCTCTGTGTATCACTGGCTGTCCTGGAACTTGCTCTGTAGACCAGGCTGGCCTCCAGCTCAGTGCTGGGATTAAAGGTGGGCTTTCAAAAAGATATTTTAAGTTAAAAACTGAAACACAGGATATCTTAACTTCAAAAAAAAAGTGTGGTGTGCTAGAGCCAGATCAAACCGGATTACGGTGGTCAACTGTGAAGTTCTTGAGAATTGTGGTGTCTGGTTTTAAATATCACCTTAAAAATTCAATTCTCTCTCCTTGCAGCTTGATGACATATATAAAAACAAATATAACAAATAGCCATGCTCATTAACTTCCTAATTCATTTTCACACACTTTACTATGAGTTATGCTCTTGAGTTGTTGTGCATGCATGTATGTACACATCTAGAGTGCACGCATGGTAGAAATGTTAGCGTGTGTTCAACTGTACACAAGTTCAATGAAATATTGGTGGTTGGAAATTGATCATCGTAGAAATACTTATACACAGAAATGAAGGTGACACTGGCTTCATCCTTTGTTGGCAGTCTAGACTTTGTAAAATGCTAAGTATATAATGCAGATTAAATTTAGCTATTATTTATGAATTGTGTAAAAATGCAGAAATGCCCTCCCTGTGTTTGAAAACTATTATCTAGTTCAGATAAAAAGTTGCTCACTTCGCTGAGAAATCAGCGAGGTGCCAACATGTCTCTGTTGTTTCATTTGGTTCTCACGCCTAGCGTTAACAGAAAATAGACCTGACAGCCATATCAGAACTACATTTACTTTGGTAATTGCAATCTCCAGTTGGCTGTGAAGACAATAATCCTGCAGAGACCAGCAAAAGCATTCTGTGGGTCACAAATGGCTAAAAGTAATATATACTGAAGAGTTCCATGTTTATTATTTGTGAGTTGCTTACTACGTTATCCCCCATATCAGTAAAATTTATAATAAACATATGCAATTTGTCTACACATTTTCTCCCAGATAACTAACTGTATGTTTATCAACACAGCACATCACTGGCTACACATATGTATAGTAAATAATTTAGTATAGACAAAAAAGTTATTAGTAGTGATTGCTTCTAGGAAAAGTAATTTGAAAGGAGAAAGAAAACATGTTCCATTTACTATTTCCGATGTTTGGAGTATAATGTAAGGGCAGTAGGGGTATATTTCTCATTATTAGAAGTATACATAAACCAGGCGGTGGTGGCACATGCCTTTAATCCCAGCATTTTGGAGGCAGAGGCAAGCAGATCTCTGTGAGTTTGAGGCCAGCCTGGTCTACAGAGAGAGTTCCTGCACAGCCTGGGCTACACAGAGAAACCCTGTCTCAAAAAACAAACCAACAAAAAAAGAAGCATATATAAAGCATAGTCTTCTTAACATCATTAGAACACATGCTGGTGTTATTAAACCTTTTTAAATTGCCAAGTTGAACAGAATGCTACTACTTATTAACTGTGGGAAGCAGCTTTTCCAAATCCCACTGTTTTCCCTTTTCCCAAATAAAAAGTGGAAAAACCACGGATGTGTCTGTAGGGATTAGATTTTTTTCTGAAGCCAAACCCTCCTGTGTTTTTTGTTTGCTTGTTTGGTTGGTTGGTTGGTTGGTTGGTTGTTTGTTGGTTGGTTGGTTGGTTGGTTGGTTGGTTGGTTGGTTGGCTTTAAGGCTTTTGCTTTTTGTTTGTAGTGCTAGGGTTTCAGCCATGCTAAGGTCATGCTCCATCGCAGCCCCTATAATGTCTCATCTTAAACCCAGCACAACAGCACTGGCGAATAACTAGACGCTAAGTGTGATGTGCACGCTGCCGATGGAGCCACCTGACTCCAGAGACTCCCGACCTCGGAAATCACCCTGGAGTCACCCTCACCTTCAAACCTCCGAGTAAGATCTTGCTCAGTCTCATCAAATGCTGCTTCTCGGACATCGTGGAAGAAGGCTTTGAGGTAATTAAGGGCATCCTTCATCTGTGCATCCTCACTGATGATGAGAGCATCGTTGTATTTCTGTTTGAAATGAAAGGTGAGTCTCAGTACCTTTCCAAGTCCCCATGCTCCCCACACTGACATTCAACCGGCTGTACTTAGTACAAAATTGGTTTCAGGAAAATCTTTCTCATATTGCACTGCTGAGGTTTTAGAGGTAAACGGCCTTTAGTGGGTCTATGATAAAACCCTCGGAACCAAAATCTGGTTTCCTTTTCTGTTTTAGTTAACTAGAAATATTAATTAAGTAGATTCACTTTGTATTGTAAAATTACGCCTTGGGAGAGAAGGAGAAACAGTGTATCATAAGAAACAATAATAAAAGCAAGTCAGCAAGTTTGACATCACCTTGCATCATAGTGCTGACATTCTCCTTAAATTCCAGAGTCATAAATAAAATGTACATGGGCCTTTCAGAATGATGGCCCTTACCACCTATGCTGAGAGTCCAGTAAGCATTAAAATTCCATGAACACATGCTATGGAACAAGTCCTTAAATATGTTCCATAGCGTAGCAACAGTGGCGGCTGTTCCTGCCATTCCTTTCTTCTGTGTTAACCAGAGCCCCCAGGGTTCTAAGTTTGTGGCTTTAACAAAGTAAGGCTGCACAGGCGTCAGGATGTGGCGACAGGAGCCACTTCTTGAACTCAGAGATGGGGTTACCATTCACAAATCTAGAGCAGCAGTGTTTTGTCATCACCCAGCTTTCTCCAACCACATCCATAAGGCAGAGCTGGAGGCTTGACATGGACCCTGAACCTCTCTCTGCTCCAGTCTTGTAGCCTGGCTGTTAAATTTCAGAGAACAAATGAGGGTGGTGATGATTTTCTGGAAAGTTCCTAATGAAGCTCTTGGCTAGGATCAGAAGCTGCCACCGTGCAGACCCCAGGAGCCGCAGTGACCAAAGCATGCCATTCAAAGCAGCGATCCATCTACCCGCAGATGGGATGTGTATAGAAAGAGCACTCTGCAGATCCTGCTCTCCTCCTCTTTGTCCGGCATCTGGAAGACCATGCACGCTTTGTGCACTGCAACAATCCACTGTTCGTACTTCTGGGTGCCAAATTCTCTATTTTGAATTTGAAAAAACTTCCCTAGAGGGCAAAACAAATCAATAAACAAAAAACAAATGAACAAATGGTCTGCAAGCATTGGTTCTAACATGCCTTGTCCTCTAATTTTCTTTCTTATTCATTATAAGTGATATTTATCCTGAAGTAGCCTGAGTTTTCAGCTGTGTGTGCACGCACACACATATGCGTGTGCAAGTAAAGTGATTACTTACTAAATGATCCAAATCAAAGTGCTTTTCATTCATAATTGCATTTATTTTTTTTTCTAATTTGGTGAGGTCAATATTTCATTTTACAAAGAGTAAATGGATTCAGAAAGAACTGAGTAAGCGGGACTGGAGAGATGACTCAGCAGTTAGGCTCTTGCAAAGGACCCAAGTTCAGCTCCCAGCACTCATGTTGGGCGGCTTCCAACCACCTGTAAATCCAGTTCCAGGGGGATTCAATGCCCTTTTCTGGCCCCTGGGAGCAACAGCAGTCATCCCCCACAGTCACATGAGCATACACACAATTTTTTTAAATAAATCTTTTATAAAAGGAAAACTAAATAATTTACCCAAAGCACACAACTCGTATTGTGTGGGTGTGGCAAGAACTCAAACCCAGCTATGTGATGTCTAAGCCCTACAGGTCTAAGGGGCTGACAGTCAAAGTAATTAAGAAATAAAAAAAAAGCCGGGCGGTGGTGGCGCACGCCTTTAATCCCAGCACTCGGGAGGCAGAGTCAGGCAGATCTCTGTGAGTTCGAGGCCAGCCTGGGCTACCAAGTGAGTTCCAGGAAAGGCGCAAAGCTACACAGAGAAACCCTGTCTCGAAAAACCAAAAAAAAAAAAAAAAGAAATAAAAAAAAAAGAACACAATGTTGCCTTTAAAAACAAAGACACCAATAGAATAATAAGTCTCAAGAGCTTCATCAGAGACAGGTATATAAAAATGGGAGCACCAGTACCCAACACAGCCTGTTCTGCTTTGCTATGAGGTCGGGACACCTGATCTCTGGGCAGCACTCACAGCACCAACCACAGCAGAGCACAGAGATGTTGTTCTGGGTACATCTGGGTGCACACCTGGAGCTAAGCCTAGCTGCCTGGTTCAGACTCGTAGGGTCCACAGTGATCCAGACTCTGGAGGGGGGGGGGGGTTGGGGGGGGGTGCCAGCTTGGGGAGAGGTGAAAAGATGAAGTGGAAATAGCCACAGTGGCTTGGTCTATTAGTTTAGTTTCCAGGGGTTCTTGAGACAAGCACAGGACAGTAAAATTCAAAGGCAAGAAATGCATTTATTCATTAAATGTCTCCCCTCACCCATTCATTTTCAATAATAGAGCAAAGGACTGATACCCAACAGGTAACAGTGGCAGACTTCTTCCCTGCTTCCACCCCACAGACAGGGTCTCAGTATGTAGCCCAGGCTGGCCCTCAGACTCACAACCTTGTAGACTCAGTCTCCAAGCTGCAGGGGTTACAGATGTTGCCACCACACCCAGCTCACAATGAGATGTTTTCCCAGTTCCAGAAGAAACGAGGTGGCTATCGACAGTTACTCAATGTGAGGAGGTGGGAAATATTCTATGCTATTAGGAAATGAGTTATTGACAGGATTTGGACTTGAGGAAGTGTAGATGTTAGCTACAGTGAAAGGAATAACTCAGTAAAAGTCTGTTCATTCATCATCACTTTAGTCAGATTATGTCATCCTGTTCCTGGGTGACCCATGTACCTCCTAATTGGCCTCTTTACAGCCTGCCTTTTTTCCTCCATCGAGTTCCTACCAAGTAGCTACAGAGAGTTTCCAAAACAGTAGAGGAGAGAGCATGCTACTCCAGGCTACTACTTCAGGGCCTTCAGTGGATTCATTACCTAAACTCCTCCCCCAGTGCTGTCCTTAGAAACTGTTTGTCTCCGGATGCTCGTGTGGCAAAAGGCTGGTCCCCGGCATGATGAGGTTAAGAGGTGGTGGCACTTTCAAGAGCTGAGGACAGTGAGAGGGTGTTAGGTGATTGGGGGCATTGCTCCTGGAAGGGATTAATGCAGATCTAATGGAAGCCCAGTGTTGATGCACATCTTGGGAGGAGGAGGCAGCAAGTTCCCAGTTCAAGGCTAGCCTGCACTGTATACAGAGATTCTGTCTCAAAAGAAAAAGGAAGGAAGTAAATTCAGAAGATGATTTAAAGACAGTATTTTTCAGGTATGTATGTCCAGATGGATCTGCTTTGGATTTGAAAAGAAAATAAAGCAAAAGAGAATTAAAGAATTCTTATAAGGTGCCTAATAACCAAGAATGGAGAAAGTCAACATATAAGGCAGGAATGGTGGTCCATGCTAGCAACTCCAAGACTCAGAAGGCTGAAGCAAGAGGACTCTGCAAGTTCAAAGCCAGCCCAGTCATATAGCAAGTTTCAGACCAACCAGGGATACAGAAAAAGACCTTGTCTCACAAACAACTAGAGAAATGGGAGCCAGAGAGACAGCTTGGGTTCAGTTCCCAACGGAACTGTGGCAGCTCACAACTGTCTGTAACTCCAGTTCTAGGGCATCTGACGCACCCTTCACACATGTGGTACACATACATACGTGCAGACAAAAACACCTATACAAAGAAAATAAAAATAAATCCTTTAAAAAGGACTAGAGAAAAGAAAGGAGGTGGAAAAAAAGGATGAAGAGATAAAGAAGATATAGAGAAAGGAGGAGAAATACGTGTGAATAAGAGAATAAATCAGTCCACATCTGGATATAATCTCACCATTGAACTGAAAAGACACTAATGGGCAATAAATGACTCTCACCAAGTGGAAGGGACACAAACAATGAGATTTAGCTCATCACAAGTTAGCACAGACTTACCAAGTTCCTCGGAGACATTCTTTGCCAGGTTCTCTGTCTCCTTCATCAGCTGAGATATGATGGACTTAAAGGTGTTGATAGTCCGTGATTCCACTTTCCTGAAAACTAGGATTGAATGAACGTGAGTAGTTTGAAGGACGCACAGGTCAAACGCTGCCATTTCCAAATCTTCCTCTGCCCTCGTCACATCCTCTGGAAAGCCACAGGCTCCAAGCTTACCAGTAAGCGGCCCAAATCACAGCAAATACTCAAAAGCATTGAAACAGCTTCACGTTGCTTCCTGTGCTGAGTCTAATGTCCCTCCTGGCCTAGGTGTAATCCAGCCTCTCAGTCTAGGTTTCCTGGTGCCTCTACTCTGACAAGTCTGGTAGCCCTCTGGTTTCTGCAAACATCAAATCCAGCCCTGTTTCTCTGTTTTCCTATATTCCTTCTCCGCACCATCTAGCCCCCGAAGAGTGTTCCCATTGATCTTACTATTCACGTGCTATGTTCTGGTGGTAGAGAGTTGACAAGAACTACCAGATGCTGCACAGAAGGCTGATTCTTGGAGGAAAGAAAGGTGTGCTCCTAAAGTCGCCCATCAGAGTCCTGCAATGCGGGTGCAGGCAAGGTATTGCGGAGCAAGGGAAGGAAAGTCAGTCTCTCTGGGGAGGCTGCTGTAAAATAAGCATGAGAAGGAGAAAGGCAGGAACAGGAGCGGCCAAGCACAAAGCCCAGCTGGGACGCAGGCTCAGAATAGCACAGGGAGGGTTTGCAGAGGCAGGGAAAGCAATGTAGTCTTTACAAGACTTGGAAGGAGAAGAAGCTCAAAGGGCTCAAATTATAGAGAAATTCACGGGTGTTGCAAAAGGGATGTGGTGGGCCCGTCTTCACACTCTCCATGGGGGACTCTCAGAAATGAACAGGGCCGGGGCCTCCCAGCCCACTGTATGCATTCTGCCACTGACTCAAAATCAGTGCTCAGGCCAAGACGAAGCCATGTGTAACTGCTCTACCTCCGGGCTTACATGGCTAGTTAATCATTAATAACCATCTGCTAGTGAATCTCATTTTTAAAACCTGTTCTGGTCATTTGATGAGAGCTATTATGATTCAGATCATTCCAACTACAATTATCAGATCCATATAGGAACAAGATGACCCTACAGTACCTGCCTAGGGCATGGAGCCCAGAGGCCTGACCCAGCCACTGGCTCTCAGCTCTCTTGCTGGTTCTTGCTAGGGGTTTTAGAGACAAAGGGCAAGGATGTTTGTCCCTTTTAGGCTACTTTTGAGACTCATGCATCACTCGGGAGAAGAGGTCGATTAGGGAGAAAGATAGGACGTGACTATTTCTGAAATTTGGAGTTAAAATGCTTTTACCAAACAAACGCCTCAGAGTTCATCCATCTGAAGTAGGAGGAGCAGAGAGTCACAAGTTCCCAAGAGGTGTGTTGCTGAACCCACTTACTTTTCTGGGGCTTATAAACAACCTGCTCCAGTTCTTCCACGTTGTCCCTGACCGTGGCGATCACGGACACATCCAGGGCGGCGCAGAGTTTGCAGATGTGCTGAATGGCTTCCTCTACGGTTTTGGCGTCTCCAACACCAACTGAGGCAGTCAGCCCGATGACCTGTAAGGAGCATCCCCAACACTGGTTCTCGGACGTTCTCCAGGATGCTGTGAGCAGAAGGGCCCCCGAAGTGTAGCACTAAATAAACCTCATCATCCAGACACTAGCCAGAGGAAGAACGGAGAGGGAACCTTTTCCCGGCAGGGCTAGTCTTTCTTTACCCCTGTGTCTCCTACTAAGGAGGAAAACATCAATGGGAATGAAAAGGAATAACGTGTCCATTCCAGTCACATCCGTGTCCGTTCGTTTCTGTGCGCTTTGACAAGCACCCTCAACAGTCAGTGGAGGGGAAATGGCCATTTAAAAATGAGAGCTGTGTAGATTCAGTGACATAACTTCCTTCAGTAATAACCCGACAACTATGAATGATTAACTCACCAGTGAGAAATCTGTTTACCATCAACATTACTTGAGAAGATCAAGCTGTGGGTACCACACTAAATGTCCTTTAACCTGTACTTCTGAAATGGGTAATTATTGGAGCTAAAGAATTGCATACAATTCATGGTTTACAGCCTCATTTGGGGCCCTGGTATAATACCATCATTCTTCATTGTATCCATCTCTGTTCTCATGCACTGTTTCAAATCGTCTTCATCCTCTCCAACTCCCTCTCCCATTTCTATATTGATGATTTTCAGCACAGTGCCTGCCTCTCCTCAGATTGAAAGAAAGGAGAATTTATACCCATGATTCCCTTCCTTCCTGTCCCATCTAAGAATGGCCCTCTGAAGTGATTCTTCTCATGTGACATTGGACGGGTTGCTGCTCATTTCTTGTGCTAAGCCATAGACTTGCCCACTGATGCTCCACCCTCCAGATGTCTCCAGGGGCATCTGTCATAACTAACAGCTTTATTGGTTGTCCCCTGTTCTCATCCTGCCAAATCTGCTGCTGCTGCTCCTTACCTCACTCTTCTACACTCAAGTGATACCATAGATTTCAGGATGCTGGAGCATGCCAGAATCTTTCATAGCTCTGTGCCTCTGGACACACCACATCCTCTTAATGAAAATCATGAAGTCATCTGCCTAGAAAACCCCTGTTAGTTCCTCTCTTCTCGGTTACGTCTTGCCTTACTTTTACTTATGTTTCAACTACACCCTTTACCCGTCTCTGCAGCAAACCTCATGATAAGCTGTGACCTACTATTATGTACCCGGCTCCCTGTGCAAACTTAACTGTATGAGAGCCAACGTTATATCTTCTATATCAGTGTCCTCAGGGCCTAAAACAGTGTCCAAGGCACATGGAAGCCCATGATTCATACAGTTGGCCCTCAACATCCAGATGTTATAGACATCTGTGAATTCACACAACCATGGATCAAAAATATTTTGTTAACCTCATTAAGTGCTAAAATGTATAAATTACCCACCTTCATTCCCTAAGCAATACAGTATAAGAACTATTTATATAAAATTTACATTATACTGTACAATATTAGTAATCTAGAACTGATTCAAAGAATGAAGGAGGAAAGTGTATAGATTGTATATACAAGAGACTTCAGCACCCTAGATTTTGGTTCCTGTGAAGGGTATACCAAGGACAACTGTTTGTCAAACGAATGAACCAAAACTAACCAATGAGTTGTAACCGATGGACCTAGAATCGGAGGAGGGTAATCGCAAATGTGGCTACAAGAGTAACTAGATGGAATTCTGGATGATTGTGGCTCCTATGAGACACCATCTGACTGAAATACCTGAGGCAGCGGGTCTGACGACTCTCCAAGTTTGTGATCTAGGTATCTGAACATGATCTGATTGTACGGGTGGTGTTTGCTGGTGTTGTGGCATTCATCAAATATCATCAAGGTGAAGACAGACAGTGAGGGGATGGTCCCATTGTTGAGATTGTTCACAAGAATCTGGGGTGTCAGGATGATGATGTCATTGTTTTCAATAATGGGCTGCACTGAGACATTATCAGTCGTTGCCCCAGAAATGCCCGCTACGTTGTACCTGGGAGATGACAGAAATCCCTTATTACCAACTGCAGTGTAAACAAGGAAACAAAGGTGAAACATCAGATTGGAGCAACAATGAATGACGTCCCCCTAAGCCCAAGAGACTGCAACCAGGGAGTAATTTAAGCTTACACTCAAACCTGACACAAATCCAGGGATCAGGAAATGCAAGCTGGTTAATTGACCACGGTATATTTATTCTTTCAAGTCATTAGGAGATGAATAATTTTTTTTATTTTTTTGGGTTTTTTGAGACAGGGTTTCTCTGTGTAGCTTTGCACCTTTCCTGGATCTCGCTCTGTAGACTGGGCTGGCCTTGAACTCACAAAGATCTGCCTGCCTCTGCCTCCCGAGTGCTGGGATTAAAGGCGTGCGCCACCACCGCCCGGCTGAATAATTCTTAAAAGAGTAATGTCAAATGAAATATAAAATCATTAAGAATGACTGGTGTATCATCTTCAGCCACCAAGTTGTTCACTCTGTCAGAGCAATCCATGAAGGCTTAGCACTTCTGGGGGAGCTAAACGAAAAATGTTATTCCACAAAGGAGTTACCTCTTAGCTAAGTCTATGGTTATTTTCTTTGAATCACACAGAACAGGGGCTGGAGAGATGGCTCAGTAGTTAAGAGTACTGGCCGTTCTTCCAGAGGACCAGGGTTCAATTCCCAGCATCCACGTGGCAGCTCACAACTGTCTGTAACTCCAGTTCCAGGGTATCCAACACTCTCATACAGACATACATGCGAGCAAAATACCAATGCACATAAAATAAAATATATAAATTATTTAAAACACACACACACACACACACAGAACAACCAGGCACGTCAGTGTACACTGTAATCCCAGTATTTAGAGGGTAAAAGCAAGAAGATCATATTGTCTAGGCCAACCTCAGCTACAATAGTGAGTTGGAAGACAGCTCTGGTTATATGAAAAAAAAAAAGTATATTCACGTCATGAAACTAGAATTTAAAGAAAGAAAAAAGCAGTTGGACTGATTGTAATACATACCCAAGTCTTTCAAAATAGCGTGAGAACACAGTTGCCTGCTGTTCATAGACAGGAATTTGATTAGCAAAGAAGACCACTTTCCCTTTCTGTCCATGTGGGAATCTTTTAAGATGATGTTCACATATAAGAAGTGACACGAAGGTTTTCCCACAACCTTTCAATAGAAACGGATAATCAACGTCAGATGCTTCTCTAGAATGTACTTATTTTCGGCCTCTCCACCACCGTTGGGATACAAATGAACTAATTGGTCATCTGCACTGACGTGACAGTTTAAACGATGGCTACAAACCATCCAGCTACGTCCTAGGAAACATGCACAAACCGAAAGCAAACAAAGAGGGCATTTCTCTTCCGTTGTCCATGCCCCTTAACAAGATACATTGAGACTATTGAGAGGACAGATTTCCCAAGGGCAAATACAACAAGAAAAACCTTGAACTTCTTCATTGTATCACGGCACCCAAAGACAGAAGAAAAAGCAAAGAGAAAATGACGTAAGTTACTGCAATTGACTCACCAGTAGGAGCACATATTATTGTATTTTTCCCTTTCTCAGCAGGCAGAGCAAGCTCCAGCTGGTAATTTCTTGGTTTCAATGGGCTGTTCAAATTATTAGAAGACGCTTCTACAATAGAGAGGGAAGAAGGTTACCAAACAGCCAGTGCTCTAACCACCGTTCAGTGGACATGAGTTCTGACTCTAGCAACAAGGACCCCGTTTTGGAGGTATGGAATCTGGCCTCTTACCAACTGTCCCACTTCCCCCATTGATTTGGATGGAGCACACACTTGTCTCTCAGTGATAAAGAATCAACAACAAGGAGACAGGAAAGGCCAAAGTGAATTCTTTCTAAATCATGGAAACTTGATTAAGAAAAAAGGGAAGCAAGACTGGTCTGATTCAAAGCAAAGCAACTCAGAACAGAGAAGCAAGAGACCCCCAAAGCCAGCTGAGAAGAACCGTGCTGCCGGCATCAGGTTCTCCAAGCAACTTTCACAAGGGGAAACCATGCTGTATGCTTCTCAGGATCCCAGATGGATCAGCAGAATGGGAGGTTTAATGATCTGAGGTCTCATCTCAATAACAGCTCAGCACACAAAATGTCAGGAGACAGAAAAGACTGAAATCACCTCGTGTGTTCAACCTTCCCACTATAAAGAAAGAGACTTTTGAGAAAGTTGAGAAAATCAGCTTTGCTTAAAAGACATGTATGGATCATGTTCATTATTCATCTTATTTCCTTCTAGGTACATTTTGTTATAAATATGTTAAGGCACATCTTACAACTTTCTGTTCTCTTTATGATGAAAACGTATTTCAAGGAGCCCTAGAGACCTTATCCAGCCATAGGTAACTTCACAGCAACATGTGTATGGGAACCAGTTGACTGAGCCCTCCACACAGAGGCTGGCAAACGGAGGGCACATAGCCCGCTCATCCACATGTATAGCAGCCCTGGGATCCTGGAAGGAGACTGAGCAAGCGGCTCAGAAACAGAAGCAATCTTTTAGAACGCCAGGCTGCTTTGAGTGTCACCGACACTGAAGTTCTGTGAACATTACATCAGAGGAAGCTGTGGACGTACATTCTCAGTGGTAGCAGGCAGATAAAAGCGACAGAGGCCACAAAAGATGGGAACAGTGATTCTAACTATGAAGTCTCTATGGCCACACAAATTCCCTTTCCTTTCCTAATCATCCTTTAAAAAAGATTTTCAAAAGGCATCACAGTGCTGAAGAAAAACCTATGGAAAAAGACAAGTGATGCCCGGTACCTGAGGGTGGGCAGGGATTCTGAGGACAAATGATGCCCAGTACCTGAGGGTGGGCAGGGATTCTGACTGAGAATCTGGCATTCTGGCTCTTCCTGTATGAAAATCTGTATGCTGGACATCTCTGTTCCATCATCTTCAGCAGCTTTACTTTCAGCCCTTTTGAAACCTTTGTGAGATCACAAAAAACAAAAAGCAAAAGCTTAGAATCTCGATGTAATCTGACTGTGGTTTGGGCTGTGAAAACCCCAAAAGTCATAACACTGAGCTCTTACAGCCATGCCTTTCGCTTCCTTAACATTTTATTTATTTTTAAAAGTCTTTTATTAGTTAATTTATTGTGTGTGTCACTCATGATACAGGGAGTGTGTGGAGGGCAGAGGACAACTTTCGGGAATTGGTTCTCTCTATCACGTAAGTCCTAGAGGCTGAACTCAGGTCTTCAGGCTCAGTGACAGCAGCCTTTACCTGTAAACCATCTCAAGGACCACCTTTCAATTCTTAAAGCAACTGGAAGAATCATTTTGAGTTGGAAGCTCAATTTGGTGTTTGAATGCCAGTGTCACTGAGTGCCGTGTGACTCAAAGTGTGGGACTTGCTGCTGCTGAGCAGTACGCACCGTGAGCCCCTCCCCTCGCAGTTGCTCAGGTGGGTAACATTTGCAAGAGATTCATTCCTAGGCACACGAAAGAGACACTCATGGCTTTCATCTCTAGCTAATCCCTCACCAAAGACATAGAAAGTTTCTATGATCATTTATGTTCTAAACAAACCCAGGTGAAAACTAAAACTAGAAACTCAGGTCTTTATCAAACTCAAATTTAAAGCAAGCGTGAGTTTCCAGAAGCCAAATAAGATTGGCTTAGTCACAGCAAATTCTGCATTCCCTCCTGCTCTGTCGGTTCCAGATGGCTTCCAGGCAAGAGAACCAATAAATGCCCATCGTTCTCAATATTCAGCCTCTACTCTGGTAGGGAGGTAAGTCTGGTGATTTGAACCTTTAGGTCTGGAATTCTCAAGCTATTTCTCTGACAACTTCAGTTTGGGCTGGAACTCCTTATTTTTCCTTTCCCAGACTCTTTGGGCTGTGCAGGCTCATCCCCTCCCAGAACTCAGCTTCCCGAGCTTGTTCCCTAGGGATGTAGCCATGGGTATCTGAATGGAATAGTGTCTATTATGAAAAGTAAACTCTGGCAGGATGTGGCAAAGTCCTGGGGCAAATGGTGAGGGGCACAGTATGGTCCAGGGCTCTTTCTGAAGCGGCCCACCTTCATCAACAATCCACAGCTCACTGAACTTGTTGTCTTCTTTCTCCAAAGCAAGTTTCAAAACCTTGGGCCAGTTCTCCTTATCCGATCTGAGAAGACATTCGACCATCTTCTCTGCACCTGCCATCATCCCTTTGGTGAAGCAGATCTGAGAGAGAGAAATGCAGCACGCGAATCAGTTAGCTCAGCTTTCTCTGAAGAGATGTCTACTCAAGTAACATTTGATGGAAATCACTGTGAAGTACAGTGCAGTAGGTCTTAGCATCATTTTTTACCCCACCCAGTATTAGCTTTTAAGACAGCCTTTCCTTCACCTTTGTCCTTTATATGTGATATCAATAGGTCAAGCCAAATGTTCTCATCTTCTGAATCCTTACATTTGTTGTCATCAGCAATCCCAGGGCAAAAAGCTAACCCATATGATAACCATTCACACTAAGGATATATCAGCATATAGAGCTATTTGAAAGACCCTAACAGCACAACAGCAGATTCTTTACAGAGTAGGCATTTCTTTTTTTTTTTTTTTTTTTTTTTTTTGGTTTTTCGAGACAGGGTTTCTCTGTGTAGCTTTGCGCCTTTCCTGGATCTCGCGCTGTAGACCAGGCTGGCCTCGAACTCACAGAGATCCGCCTGCCTCTGCCTCCCGAGTGCTGGGATTAAAGGCGTGCGCCACCACCACCCGGTGAGAGTAGGCATTTCTAATGATAACCAAAATGTACTTTGTATGTACTATTATGCATGAAGCTGACATAAGCACTTTATGTGTATCACTTCATTTACTCCTACCAGCATGTTAATAAGGAACATTTTTCTTACTTTAGACAGGAAAAAAACCAGATGCTTAGAGAAGCTAAATGAATTGTCCAGGATCACATCACTAGTTAAGTGATTGAGAGGAGATTATAATAAATGTATCTATGTCCAAGAGTCTAGCATTTTTTTCTTTTCATTTAGTGTACTGTGCAATGTGATCTGCATGTGCACAAAACGCTATTGAGAGAAAAAGTAACAGGGCAACCTGAGCTGAAAATGGGTTAAACTTCAAATAGTCTAGCATAAAAATTACCCCATTCACATTAAAAATTCTTTTCTAGTCATTGCGTCTTCTAGATGAGGGCTTCTATGGGTTTTAATTATCCTTTGAGGGCCTAAAACAACACTGAAAACAGGAGCCATTTCCAAGAATCGCAGGATTTTTTTCTAATTTTGTGTTAATTTACCTGTCTGATTTCTTCACATTCCTGATTAATTAAGCATTCAGACAATTCAGAAAGGATATCTGTTGGATTGATTCTGGCCTTAAATTCTGGTTGTAAACGTCGTAAAAGTAATCTATGTTCCTCTAACTTTTCAATTTTTTGGAAATCCCAACTTTCAATGGCTTCATAAAGTCCACAGTAACCTGAAAAGAAAGAAAAAATGGGATTTCTTAAATGAGTCCAACATAAAATACTTTAACATCAAAACCATAGGAATTCTGGTTGAATCGATGGTAAGAGAACTCAAAACCATCTGCAAATGGCCTCAGTTAGGGCTGACCGGTCGAAGGCTTGGTCCCCGGTTGTCTTTAGAGGTAACTGCACCATGTTGGCGCTGGCTTCATCACCGTTAGCACATTGAGTTCATACGGAAGGAGTGATTGAGAACTGTGGCCCCACTGGAAGAAGTAAGTCTTAGAGATGCGCTTTGGCTCCTTACCATTGTTCTTTGCTTCCTGTCCACCCGGAAGTGCGACTTTGGTTCACCACGTGCTCTCCACTGTGGTGCCCTGCCTCACCCGACATGGGTGCGAAGCTATAGATCCACATGGCTCTGTGTTTTCTGCCTTTTATTTCCTCAAGCATTTGGTCACAGTAGTGAAAGTCACCTAATACAGCTATTCATGATTTTCCAAAAAGGAAATAATATTCATTTTTGGCACCCAACAGTTCAGGCCTTCCAAAATTCATTATCTTTCAGGGTGAGGTCCTAAGGACAGATATGAAGCCTTGTATTTGATCTTAGTATAAAATCTTCAAAATGCCCCACGTACTTTAACAATAACACGCAATTTACTTTTTAAAAATATTTGTTTGTTTGTTTATTTACTTATTTAATGTGTGTCTCTGTGTACCATGAGTGTGTCTGATGCCTGCGGAGGGCCGAAGAGGATGCCAGATCCCTGGATCTGGAGTTACAAATGTTGTTGGGCCATCATGTGAGTGCTGGGAACAAAACCTGCGTCCTCTGCAGGAGCAGCAAGTGCTCTTGGCCACAGAGTCATATTTTGGCCCCCAATTTACTTTTAAATTAGTCAAACTCGTCATGTTGATCTTCTCAGTAGGAAGAAGTAAGGAAGACAAAAGGAACTATGAATCTTACTTCCTGCCCTTGAAGAGCTTTCCTTCCACACCATTTCAAGAAAAAAAAAATGAAGTCATTGGGCAAATAAAGGAGGAAAAATGATTTCCAACTAAAATAACCCAAGAATGTCTCACTCTAAGGCTCTTGAACAGAATCCCCAAGCTTTCCTGCCTTTAAGACCCACATTTAATTCAATCAGTAGCCTAGGAAGACAATGGTTTTATTCCTATATACCCAAGAAACTAACACAATCCAAGTATCTCCTGGACCTGGGAGATGGCTCAGTGGATAACGAGCTCAGCACACTAGCCTGAGGCCCTGAGTTCCTATCCCCAGCTCTCACGTCAAAAGCCAGCTATGGCAGCATGGCCCTATAATCCCAGCCAGTCTAGCCAAAGCGGCAAACTCCAGGTTCAGTGAGAGACCCAATCTCAAATCATAAGGTGAAAAGCTCCTGAGGAAGACACTTAATGTCAACCTCCGGCCTACACGAAAGTGCCCTCACACATGTGTACACACACACATAAATTAGTGTAACTGATAATCCAGGTTCATCCACGTGGTAGCGTAAGTGAGCATCCCCTCCCTTTGTAAAACTAAAAAGGATTCTCCTGTATGTGTGTACTGCATGTTTTTCTCCTTAAATTGTATTTATTTTTTTAACTGTTTATTTATTTATTCTGTGGTGCTGGGATGCGTTTGAGTGTAAGGCCTCACCACAGGCTGGGGGAATGCTACCACCCTAACCAATACTACATTTGTGATAAAGAATATAAAGAATATTAGCACTGCTTGTATCTCAGCTGTGGCAGAAAACACTGCTATGAACATGAGTGCAGAATTCTCTCTTCAAAGCTTTGCTTTAATTCTTTGGGAAACGTGCCAGGTATGGCCCTTCTGGATAATGCAATGACTTTTTTTGGGGGGGTGGGGGGGGGGAACGCTACAGTACTTTCCACAGCAGTGATACCATTTTACAGCCTACTAATAGTGCACAAAACTTATAATTTCCCCACATCCTTATGAGTACTTTGATTTTTTTTTTTTGGACATGAGTAATGGGTGTGCAGCTATATCACTCATGGGAGATTTCACTTCCATTCCACTGAGGATGAGTGACTCTGAGCATCTTTTCACATGTTTGATGGCCAGCTGTATGTCTGGAGAAATGTCAAATCCTTTCTTTTTTATTCATATTGTGACAGAAGGAGGTGGCACTGGAGTGCCACAGCACATGCCTGGAGGTCAGAAAACAATCTGCAGGAGTTAATTCTCTCTCTCTCCACCTTGTTTTGAGGCAGGGTCTCTCTTTTTGTTTCCGCCATATTTGAGGCTAGCTGGCCCATGGACTTTCGGCCGACTCTTCTGTTTCTACCCCAATCTCACCATAAGAAGGTTTGGAATGCAGATGCACACTGCTGAATCCAGTGGGTTCTGGGAACCCAGTTCAGGTCATCAGGCTGTGCAGCAAAACCTTTCATGAGCTGAGCCCTCTTACCAGCCCACGTGAGCAGCCGATCCACTCTGTCTATTTTTTTAACTAGGTTTCCTCTGTTGAGTTCTAGGAGTCCCTTATATTACATATTATAATACATATCCTATATATTATAGATACTAATCCCTCATCAAATGTATGATTCATAAACATTTTCTCAGTTCTACAGGCTGATCTTCCACTCTGGCAGTTGTGACCTTTGGTGTACAAATAGCCCTTTTTGTCTATTTTTGTTCTGCTTAGCTGTGCACTTGGCATCATGTCTGCAAACAGAGATGCTTCCCCTCTTATGTTCCAATATAGATGTTTTAAAATTCCCTTTTTTGCCTAAATGCAAAACTTTTTCTAATAAATCTCATGCAATTTTCACAGTAAAAGTTCGATGTGCTATTTTTGCTTAAGAGACAAAGACTTAAATATAATACTCAGATTAGTTAGAGCCTCCAAAAGGAAAACAATGGATTCTCTGGGGAGGGCTAGGTAAGAGATGAACAAAATAAGCAAAAGATTAGTTTACTTGTCTGTTTATCCCCTTCTGTGCCATTTAAATTGTTAGATAAGGGCTGGGGAGATGGCTCAGCAATTAAGTTCATAATGTTCTTGGAGAGGACCTGGGATCAGGTTCCAGCACCCATGTCTGAGCCTCAAAACTGCCAGTAACTCCAGATGCAAGGGAAGAGCTGGCCTCTGTAGACAATGCACTCACAAGCACATGCCCACTCACAAATACACATACACATAATATTTAAGAGTAAACAGGGAAGATAAGCATGCATCACTGACATGGGAAATAGATAATATGTTACAATGATGGTCTGTCTGTAAGGCAGGAAAAAGAAGCAATCATCAACTACTAATCCTGGAAATAGCAGAAAACCAAGTTTTATTTTATAATAAATGGCATTTAAGGCCTTTTACCTAGTTAAAACAAAAGCATTACTTTTCATAAAACTGTTGCCATCATCACATGGACAGTATAAGGCTTCCCGGGGCACACCAGCACCTGAGAAGGGCAATGTGTTTACTTTAGCATCCCCATGTTAATTCAATATACCCACGTTATAACATGGTGGTTATATTTCTTGCATTTGTGAGGCCAGCTCAGACTGGCCTGGAACTCACAGGGATTTGCCTGCCTCTGCCTCACCAGTGCTGGGACTAAAGGCATGCGCCACCACAGCCAGCTGACACATTTTCCTTGTCTGTTACATCATTCCCCTAAAGTGACAATAACAGCAGTCCAACGTGGCTTTCTTTTCTTTGGTGTTTCTTATATACACTGTGCCTGATTTTCATATACGTCTTCTCATTCACTGCTTCTAACACTGAAGAAAAGCACCCTTTGCCTTCTTTCAAGTTGAGCAACAGAGAGGCAAGGAATGTGACTAAAACCCCCTTTAGTAAAGGACTGGCTGCATGCTAAAGTGTGATGCTTGACTTCCACCTGCTAATTAATGTCCTTGTAGCACCTCAGACAGAACCTGCGTCGGTAGACCCGAGTCCTAGCTGCCCCCGGCGTTTCTGCTAATTAGCTGTGTGACCCTTGGCAAAGCATCTCCCCAGGCCTTAGTTTTCTCATGTACAGAAAAGAGGAAGTTGGACATTTCTATGATGTCATTCATCTCCAGATAAGACTGACTCCATACGCTATCAACATCAGGGACCAAAGAACACACAACACAATTGTAATCCAATGTGAGCCAACTAGTCCATTTAAGGATTAGAATATTCCAGGATGGGTGTGGTGGCGCACACCTTGAATCTCAGCACTTGCAGAAGAGAAGCAGACAGATCTCTATGAGTTCGAGGACAGCCTGGTCTACACACCAAGTTCCAGGACAGCCAGAGCTACACAGAGAGACACTGTCTCATAAAAACAAAAAACATACAAAAAAAACAAAAATAGAACACTCGAGTACTGGGTACACCTTCTGTTTCTCACCCCTCTGTCTCTTCACCAGAAATAACAATACACTATGTTTAACTTATCAACTCCTTTGTTTTTTGTCTGAAAAGTCACAAGGCATTTGTTTGCTCCCATAACAATACATGTTTAGTTTGGCTGAGATGGAACTTTATAGCTATTATAGCTTATGACACTTAAAATTTAAGGGCTGGAGAGATGGCTCAGTGGTTAAGAGCACTGACTGTTCTTCCAGAGGTCCTGAGTTCAATTCCCAGCAACCACATGGTGGTTCTGAACCACCTGTAATGAGATCTGGTGCCCTCTTCTGGAGTGCAGGGACACATGCAGGCAGAATACTGTATACATAATAAACAAATAAATCTTGCCGGGCGGTGGTGGCACACGCTTTTAATCCCAGCACTCAGGAGGCAGAGGCAGGCGGATCTCTGTGAGTTTGAGGCCAGCCTGGATTACAGAGGGAGTTCCAGGACAGGCGCAAAACCACACAGAGAAACCCTGTCTCGAAAAACAAAACAAAACAACCAAAAAAATTAATACTGCATGCCTACAATTCAGCTGGAATGTCATTTATTGTGGGGGCCCACAGACACCCCAGCTTGTGGCTTGTTTTCATCTTGACTCAAGGTCAGAGAGTCCGAGCTTGTTCCCCCTGCAAGGCTGCATAACAGGATTCCGCTTTGCCTAAGGTGTGGTTACCAGGTGTCTTGAGTATTGAGGTGTTTACACTTGATTGTACTTTGTACCTTGAACTGTGATGTCCTTGAAAGGGGGGGGGATCTTTTTACCGCCCCCCCCCCTTGCTTTGGGTATATAAAGGCTGTGAGCCTAGAGTCAGTCCTCCGGAAGCTATCCTGTGTCTTTTTCTTCATCTACATCTATATTTCATAGCTCTCATTTCCCAATTCCACACCCAGGTTGAGCAGGACTCGACACACTTTACATTCACACAGCTTCACTGCAGTATAATGGGCCACTGTGTAAACACTATAAAACTTATTTACTCATTCGCCTGTTGAAAGACATTGGCATTCGAGTAATGCTGTCACCTCTCCCACAGTTACAATAATTCTGCTGATTCCTTTGGATACTTCTGGTAGACAACTCTATCATCTGCTTGCAAATAGTCTTTACATTTCCTTGAACAACGAGGCGTGAACTACATACAGATGCCTCAAGATGAATCCCTTTTCCCTTTTCAGCATTCTAACTAACTCAGCCGAGTAAGGTACTCTGCGTTGCCAGTAAGAAGGAACCAACCTGCATGGTACAGGGCATCCAAGAAGGCCCGGAACCAGCCATCGCTCTTCAGCTGCAGCAGGTACTGGAGGAACAGCGAGGCAGCCTCCATCGGGCCCTTGTTGTTTTTCTCAGCCTGGATGTACTGGACCTCATCTGCAAACAGAAGCGAGGACCAGTGAGCAGCCTGCAGAACCACTCATCACTGGAAGATAAAACAGAGCAGACCTTCCCACATGGGCCGGAAGTCATAACGTGTCACACAACAGAAGCAGCTTCGAGAGGCAGCAGGCTCCGCTCACTCATCAGCGCACACTTCCCATCCTCTACACAAGTGTGTGCAGAGTTCCGAGAGTGCACTCTGCGAAAGGAATGTCTTCAAGACTTTTGAAAAAAAAAATAATAAGTTCCCCACAGGAAGCAGAAGTCACAGTGGAGGGTGTTAGATGGAAGAAGAAAGGCTTCCTCTCATTCAAAACTGAAGCAAGGGCTGGGCTGAGGGTGGGGTGGGAACTAACACCCCCTATGGCGTCAGTAACGTGTATAGCTGACGCAGTGAGCAGTTTGTGATCTCTCGTTCCGGGTTTTTGCTAAGAGAGTAAAAAATACAGCAGAAAAGTGGAAGGAGAGGGAGCTAAAGAAACCAGTGAGAGCAGGTGGCAGGAAACACGAGCAACTGCTAATTTCAAAATGGTTGTTCAGTTTGAATACACATGCTAACTCTACCCAGGAAGTAACCAAACACCATTCTACTGTGGCCTCACATACCCAAACTTTTCCATAGCAGATGGAAATTCCAAAGGAGGGAGCAGTTGCCAGTGTGGTTTTCAGTGCATTCTTAGAGACTAGGAACCCAGCCTGCACTCGAGGAAGGGATCAGGAAAGAGCAAGGAGCGGAAGTCTCCTACCTTAGCTCTCATTTAAGGGTCTCTATCAACGGTAAAGATACTGTTAACAGTCACATTTTCTCTATTCAAGTGAAAAACTTGATTCATTTTAGAGTTTGGACGCTGTCCCAACTACTGAATTACAATAAAAAGAAACCCTTCACCCACTTAGCAATCACTCCATTCCCTCTCCCCTTTGCTCTAGACAGTCACTAACCAACTTCACAGATTCTATTCCTCAGGACTTTTCAGGCCTTGTGAGGCAAAGTGCTCTACCGCTGAGCTCCAGCCCCGGCTCCCATCTGGGCATTCATGTGAATGGTTCCACGCAGCATATGGTCTTTGCAACTGGCATCTTTCCTTTAACACGTTTTAAGGTCCATTCATCTTGTACATGCTATCATTCTTTCCTTTACTAAAAAGCTACACAATAAGAATGCAACAAGCCAAATGAAATTCCATTGCGTGGATGTTTCACATTGCGTTTGTCCATCCAACAGTCGACAGGCGTTTGAGGCTGTGTCTACATTTTGTCTATTATGAATAGAAATGCAAGGAGTGTTTCTCTTAGTCACTGGTTTTTGGTGTGAAGAGAAATGATAGCCATGGCAACTCTTACCAAAGAAAACATTTAATTGGGGGTAAGCACCAGGGGGTAAGTCTATTATCATCATGGCAGAGAGCATGACATCATGCTGCAGCTACATCCTGATCTGCAGGCAGAGAGAGAGAGACACTGGGATTGTGTGGGCTTTTGAAACCTCAAAGCCCACCTCCCCCTCACCCAGTGACACACTTCCTCCAACAAGGTCACAGCAACTCCAACAAGGCCACACTTCCTAATTCTTCTAATACTTTCAAATAGTTCTTCCCTCCACGCTGATGACTAAGCACTCAATATATGAGCCTGTGGGGGTCAGCCCCAATCAAACCACCACAATGCTCACGTATAATGTTTATGCTAATGCACTTCTCTTAGGTACACATAGAGATGTGAGACTGCAGGCCACGCAGCAACCTCATTTTTAACATTGTACAGATTGATAAGCCATTTTCCAAAGAGGCTGCACAATTTTGCAATCCCATTAGCAATCTGAGATTTATTTTCTACACAGCCTAACCAACGTCTGTGACTGTCTTTTTCCTTAAGCCATCTGTACGAGCTTCCTGTGGCTGCAGTGACACTTTGACACAAACCACATAGCTTAAGGCAATAGGAACATTTTTTTTTCACAGCTCTAAGCGCATACATCTGCAATCAAGGTGTTAGTGGAGCCATGTTTCCATCAAGGACTAAAGGAAAATGCTTTCCTTGCCTCTTCCAGCTTAGGCAGCTGTGGGGCGGTTGGTTTTTTTGGTCTTTTAATGGGTTTTGGGTCTGGGATAATTTTCATTGATTAGGGGGGTTGGTTACAAGTTGTTGTCAAGGGTTAGGAAAAAGGCTAAGCAAAGGAGATTAGATTTAAGGTTCTTATTAAAAAAAAAAAGAAAGAAAAGAAAAATATAAATACTTTACATTGGATTGGATTGTTTTATATTGCATACAAATTATATATATTGAAATTGATATTGTTAGAAAATGTTATATATATTTTTCTAATTGTACTGTTCATCTAACAATGTAATGCAATTTTCTGATCCTTGAATGTTATTACCAACTATTAGGATATAAAGAAATGAAAGTTAGTAGTTAGATATTATAATAGAACTTGTAGTTATATTAGGTATGTTTTCAAGATTGAGTAGATATATTTTAGATAGACAGGTTATCTTCAAACCCTTCAGAGATCTACAGAATATGGCATTTAAAATGTTTTAATAACTTAGAAAATTTTTCTTTTTTGTTATGACTATGAGACATGTCGGCTCCTGGCAGTACCAATCTACTTCAGAGAAAATATGGGCATTGAAGAAACTGCATATGGAGTTAACTTTCATTGTGGCAAAAGTTAGCCACTGGACAACAAAGTATCCTCGAATCAACAGGACAAAATGGACAGACAGGACATAAAACAAAGGATTACTGATTCTTGCCAAAACAAGTGTGGTTATGGCTTTATCAAAAGGCATCTTCAGAGGCCAGGACAATATGGCACCATCCCTGAAGTGGCCTTCGCAATTCGAAAAAGGTACAGTGCCCTTTTCTTCGAAGGCAGCTGAACAGGCAGTGGGCCGATGGCCTCTGATGTGCAATGGAACAGCAGCTGAAACAGTTATTCTTGAAGAGTAACTAAGCTCACGCCTCTCAATAGTAGACTGGCATTTGATGGAGGGATATGGAGAAGAATGGGATGCTGAGATGAAGCCATATATACACAGCCAAGAAGAATGGACAGCTGAATTAAAAAACCATCAACAATTTCCAGAATTTAAAATCCTGAATCATGACATGACACTAGTGGAATTCAGGTGTTTCTGGTACATGGACTACTCTCACTCAATGTGAGGTTGAACTGTTGACCTTGTGTACATCCTACTTCACAAATGAGTCTGTCAGATATGCTAAGCCTATAGGCTGAAGATGATGCCCCAGCACTTCGGAGAAACCTCAGGTGACTGTCCAGACAGCTGTCTGTTTCTGTCAACTCACAAATTTTTTGGAAGTTGCTTATGTGCACTTCCTGTTTTTATTTTTGTTAGCTAATATTATTTCCTTCTTGGGTCTCTGAGGGAGTTGAAGATTAGTTAGTTATAGTTGAAGGTTAGTTAGTTATAGTTGAAGATTAATTAGGATACATTTTGGACTTACCAAAATAGGATAGATAATGAAATTATTTTCTCTGAATTTGTCAAATACAAATGGACTAGACATTGTTTAGGTATTTATTACTTAAATAGTTATTGTCCTTTTGTATATAGTTTTTCTTATATTAGTTATAAGCTTTTTCTTTTTTTTCTTTTTATTAAAATAGAAAAGGAAATATGGTGATATTTTATTTGTATTAAAATATTATTTGTATGTTAATAAATAAAGTTGCCCGGGGGTCAGAGCTATTAGCAAGCCATAGGAAAGCAGGGCAGTGGTAGCGTACGCTTGTAATTCCAGCACTTGGTAGGCAGAGCTGGGTAAGTCTCTGTGTGTTCAGGGATACAGCCATTATTGGATACACATGCTTTTAATCTTAATACCAATCATGGAAAACCTGGAGGCCTATACAGACAGGCTGTGAGGAGGCGGTCATGTGGTTGGGTTTACAACCAATGAGAAGGCAGGACAGGAACTCTATATAAAGACTTTAACACAGGGGTAGCTCTGGTTCGGAGAGGTAGGACCACCGCAGGAGGAAGGGTAAGGTTTTAGCTCTTAGCTCTGACCTCTTGGCTTTCTTCTTTGCATTGGTTCTGTGTTTATTATTCAATAAGAAGGTTGGATACATCTACAGGCAGCCATCAAGAATCCTCACGGGTGACCTCTTGCATTCCAGTCTCTGCCCATTTCCACACTGTCATCTCCTTATCTGGCTTGTAGCTCTCACTACACACCTGCCTCTGTCTTCACAAGGCATTTTCTTGATCTTTATGCCCACACATGGCTGTCATCTTATAGGGATATCGGTTCCACGGTATACCATCTTACTTCAGTATCACCTCATTTTAGCCAGTTACCTCTGTAAAGACCCCATCTATCTCCAAATAAGATCATGTTCTGAGTTACTGGGAATTAGTACCCCAACATAATTCAACTCATAGCAGCAACCCATCTGGTCACTTAGCCCAGCTTCCCTGGGTCCACAACCCTACCTCTTTGAGTCCATCTGTCCTATTACTAACATCTGACCTATTACTTACAGCTGGGTTCTTGCTTCCTGTGACATGATCTTCCCTTAGACCCACCATCACTGATAAACCACAAAGACCAGATTTATCCCCGCCGCCACAGCAGGGGCCGTCCAGGTCCAACTGCCTTGTCATATCCTGGGCAGTTTATACTCTGCACTTTGTATGGCTCATCCTGCTGCTCACCATATCCAATACGGCTGCTTGCAAGTCAGTGATAATTTCATCAAAATCACCAGGATTTCAAAGCAGAGAAATCCCCATCTTTTGGAAAAAGCAACAGTTCCCACTGTGTTTACTATTTTGGGGCCCCGTGAGCTTCCCAAAGTAGTGGCTTTTAAAATTCCTCTCTGTGCTTCCCTATACTCTTTGAAGCCTCTGACTAGGACACTTTACATTGTACACAATATTTGTGTACTTATCTTCTCCCTAACACTATGACATGGACATGTTTTATTCATCTTTATATTCTACTAAACACAGTGGCTGGTT